TGAGCAGATACTCTATTCTCCAACTTGACTGGACACAATAATATAAAGACGTTTGTCCTTTAATTTATTTACATTGTACTAGGCCCATACTCACGGTGGATATTTCAAGAAATCAGGTTTCGAATCGCTATTCTACTGATACCGAATTCAAAATCTGAAGAATCTAGTACGTCAGAAAGTGAGTAAGAAAAAGACCAGAATATTCCATCTAACATGAAGCAAGTCAAGACAAATAAATGTGTGTTAAAACACGATTATTATCTAATCCCTAGTAATGAGTAATGATGTGTTTATCAGTTTCGTTGGATTGACAACCAGCTTTGAAGATACTCGAAGTTTATTTTTGGGAATGGGCAGGCCATTTTAAAGTGTGGACTGTTTTAACAGTTTAAACAAGGACGAAGCGTGAGCAGATACTCTATTCTCCAACTTGACTGGACACAATAATATAAAGACGTTTGTCCTTTAATTTATTTACATTGTACTAGGCCCATACGCACGGTGGATATTTCAAGAAATCAGGTTTCGAATCGCTATTCTACTGATACCGAATTTAAAGTCGTACTACACGACCTCAGTTCAAAATTACAAGTCTCAACCACTATAAAGTTCTTGCACCTTAACCCGCGAGGACTCTTGTAACGTACACTTATTCGAATACACGCGTCTGATATCGTAGCTCCGGTGTCCAGTTTTCCTAACAAAACGTGCAGAAAATTACATTTACTTTAATAGGAAACTTCTGTTGCACTAGTATACAGAATACGAAATATTAATAAAATCATTTTCAGATAAATCTCTTCTGGGCACGCATTAAATTGAAGAAGATCGATGATTGCTTGAACTTCCAAGCTATTAATGAAACGGTTAGCTTTCCAGTCCAAAATTACCTGAATTCGCCTGGATATAAGCGTTAATGCATCATCTGTCTCAGTAATAAGCTTTTCCAAGACTTTTCAACTGATTATACATTTTTTACTTCACCAAAGTGTTCGGGTAGTTATATGACGATGTGGTGTGTAAAAGTTTTCATATTTTTGCGAGGTTCTTTTTCACATCATTTGCTATATATATAATTCCACCTATCTTATCGTCTGCTAACTCCAGCCTTCTTCTAAATAATCGGTGGACTCACAAATATTCCATTCACAGTCTAATTTCTTTTCAGAATTCGACTTATGATCTCTAATTCAACAGCAACCAATTCCTTTACTTTTTTCGTTAATCGATTCTTAATTAGTTGATTTTCAGCTAAAAGCTATTCTAATCTTTACATCTCATATTTGAAGTTCGAATAGCGATAAAGTTTCGCGATCTATCTGTTTTCTTTAGCAATCCTACACAGAAACGCGAGCGGGTTAATTTTCTGTAATAAATTCTTGCAGGCACCTTGCATCTCAAGTCCGATACGCGTTCTTCTGTCTTAAAAAAAGCGATTTACATCCAAAAACATCTTATCTGTCTAAAAAGGAAAAAATATATTAGCCCAGGTAGCACAACATGTTGCACGATATTTTATAATATTGTTCGATATTATTTAATATTATATGATATTGTACAATATTATATAATTTGTTTTTAATATCTTACTATATTGTAAAATATCTTTGTGCTACTAGGGAATCAATCGTCAACTGAAAATGGCATTTATCTCAATTTATACCGAGGCATTTTAACTCTCTCGTGTTCAAAGTACAGAAAGAGAGATTATGTACATGTCTTTCAACGTTTCCTAATATACCAGTATCCAAATTATCCTGCAATACTCCACATTGCTCTCCCTCCGGAGACAGGTGGGGATTCTGCCCCCAGACATCTAAATCGCGAGGAAGAGGTGATTACAGCTGGATGTGTTAATGGGCAACGAAATCGGCTCTTGAGAATTGATCGCCCATTCACAGAGCGCTGTGGGACAGTCGCAAAGGATGTCGGGAGGCATAAACCCGGAGTAGACTTCTCAAGCTATGCAGTCATTCGAAGAATAATTGGGACACTAAGTAATTTTTCGTGATTATGCGAGACGCCTGTTCAGATCAAATGTTTAGACAGAATTTCCCAAGAGCTGACAGAATTCTTGAAATTTAATTTCCAAGAAAATATTTCCCTCCGTAAACGCATCAAAACATATCGTCGATTCTCAAGCAACTCCACTTATCTCAATTGTTTGGAATTGGAGATTGGTAGTGTTGCTTGTTAAGCGACGATATTCTCTTCTCGATTTTTTTGTATTCTAACACAATTTGATGTTTTTCAGGTTAAGCGTTGTAGTATAATGGATAGGAACGAGAAACAATTAGACAACTCTCTCTTAGCCGACTGGAACCAAAATTTGATAAGAATCTACGATTCTCATGTCATGACCACAAATCAAATTTCATTTTTTCTAGCTTGTTCCGTTTTCGAGTTATCACTTTCAACTTCACACGAAGAGAAAACATGCAAGCAGTCAACCTTTCAGCAGATTATATCTAAAATTTCTTACAATTTTAAAATTCAGGTGATAAAACAAAAGGCTAACTTTCTTCCATCAAGCCTCATCTCTTTATATCATTGAATTTTGCTATTATCGTGCTTACAGAACCACAGCTGCAAAATTTAAAATGATACCAACAGCACTCGGAATTCCCAGATGGGAAACCTTCAAAGTACTGGCTGAACCCGATGCTGCTTAACTGCGGTGATCAGACAGAAACCGTGGCAGGATTTGTGGGGCGATTCTACTTCCAGACATATAAATCTGGAGGGGCCGCCGCAAAGAGTTGATTACAGATGGAACGTGTTACTGGATACCGTAAAAGGGCTCTTACGAATTTACGATAGCACCATTTTCAAAGTGGGAGAGTCGTGAAGTATGCTGGGAAACATAAACCTTGAGCAGATTTCTCAAACTATACAATCATTCCAAGACGAATTTGGACACTTAAGTCGAGAGCAGCACACTTTCTCTGGCAAACCATGCGCAACGTGCGCACATCAGCAAAACTTCCAGAATATGCCAGCACCCAAATACTTCTCCAACATTCCATATTTCTCCCTTAGAATACAGGTGAGGATTCCGCTTCCAGACATCTAAATCTAGGGGAACCACAGATGCAAAATTAAAAAGATGCCAACAGCACTCGGAATTCCCAGATGGTAACCCTTCAAAGTACTGTCTGCGCCCGATGCTGCTTAACTGCGGTGATCAGACAGAAGCCGTGGCAGGATTTGTGGGGGATTCTGCTACCAGACGCATAAAACTGGAGGGGCCGCCGCAAAGAGATAACTACAGCTTGTTAATGGACACCGAAAACGGCTCTTACGAATTTCTGATAGCGCCATTTTCAAAGTGGGAGAGTCGTGAAGTATGCCCGGAAGCATAAACCTTGAGCAGACTCCTCAAACTATACAGTCACTCCAAGAATAATTTGGACACTTAAGTCGAGGAGAGCACACTTTCTCTGGCAAACCATGCGCAACGTGCGCACATCAACAGAACTTCCAGAATATGCCAGCATCCAAATACTTCTCCAACATTTCCTATTTCTCCCTTAGAAGATAGGTGAGAATTCCGCTTCCAGACATCTAAATCTGGAGGAACCACAGCTTCTAATTTAAAAAGATGCCAACAGTACGCGGAATTCACAGATGGTAACCATTTAAAGTACTGACTGCGCCCGATGCTGCTTAATTGCTGTGATAAGACAGAAACAGGTACTTTCAGCATAGTATGACTTTGGCAATAGTACATTCACAGACTAACATAATGCGTTTTTCGTAATGATTGTGTAGATTGTTCAAAGTGTACAGATTCCTCAAAATTCGAGGTCGTATATTTTGACGATTAAATTAATTTATATTTCTATTCTTCATATACGAGAAAATAAGTTAAATAAAAGTAATCATAAATATATTTGAGGAATAGATATTCCAAAGATGACATCAAGCAACTTATCACTCTACTGAAATAGAGAATCTGATTTTCTCTTGTATGGTATCAGACAAATTCGATAGATTTCTTGCATGGAACCGTATAAAAAATAAAATGTAGTACAAAATATTCGATCTGCGGGCTCAATATTTTATATTTTCGCCCCATTTTTCTCCTTCCTGTTCTTCGCACGATTTTGGAATTCCAAAGACTGTAGATACGGTTTTAAAAATGGCGCATTGGAATCCGATACTATTCGATTTTCCAACGAGGAACCTTAGATAAATTTCTCAAAAACGATAGGCACCTTTCCTGATAATTCCACTTGATCTCTCAAAACTTCCTAATTTTAAATAGATATATGCCAATAAGACAAAAAATTTTAAATATCTTAGTGTTCACTGGAATTTGTTTTGAATCATTTTTGGATTGAAAGGATGGTTGACTGAATCCATTTGAGAACGTACTTTATTTAAAAAAAACCGCTCATATAATTAAGTTCTATCAATATCGATACCCAAATTTACCGAAAATATGATTTTAGATTTCCAAGGGAATAAATGAATGCAGAATAAACTTTTTTGTTTTTGTTTTCTCGTTTACGAAGTGCGTAAAGAAAAAGGATTGTTATCGTCAGTAAATTAGATTTCGACACAAAAATTTCTATGGTTCGGTCCTCAGAATCGAGAAATTAAATTTTAGTATTACGTATGCCTGTGAGCATGATAATTCAAAGAAGTATAAAATTTCGTATATGATCTTTTCACCAAAATTATAGATTTCTGTCAAACTTAAGACCTGCTGGTTGTCGGTATGTCGGTCTATCTATCTGCGGACTTTACACTCATCCGCGCAGGGTGGGTTGACGTGGATTTTCTAGGTGTACATCTTTACGGGATAAGTCAAAAGCGCAGCAAGCTGGGAAAATGAAATTTGCACTGTTGTTTTGAAATCAAAATTCTAGATATGCAGCAGCCATAATTTTCATCAAGATTGGATTCAGTCAGTGAACGGGAAGGGGTCAAAAATACTTATTCGATCATCTTCACCATTCATCGAAGCTTAACGCAAGAAAATTAGAATTGTAAAATTATAACAGAAAGTCGATGGAGCACAACACTCCCAAATTGTGTTTAAGTATATTGTTTCACAAATTGTGTTTACGTATATTGCTTCACAAATTTTGTTTAAGTATATTGGTTCACAAATTGTGTTTAAGTATATTGTTTCACAAATTGTGTTTAGGTATATTGCTTCACAAATTGTGTTTACGTATATTGCTTCACAAATTGNGTTTACGTATATTGCTTCACAAATTGTGTTTAACTATATTGCTTCACAAATTGTGTTTAAGTATATTGGTTCACAAATTGTGTTAAAGTATATTGGTTCACAAATTTTGTTTAAGTATATTGTTTCACAAATTGTGTTTAAGTATATTGTTTCACAAATTGTGTTTACGTATATTGCTTCACTAATTGTGTTTACGCATATTGGTTCACAAATTGTGTTTACGTATATTGCTTCATTCAGTTAAAGATTAATATAATGTAAACCATAAAGCGAAAATTCAGAACTTTCTCATTTTGTAACAGGAAATCTTTTGACGCACATCATTCAACAGGTTTTTCCGAGAGGCTTTTTTTCATGACCTTAACAGCGTTACTTTGTAATCTGAATGTGAACTTGAAGACTCTAATGTCGAAAGGAAAGAGTTTTGATCTACTAGGTGACGTAGAATGAGAATGGGACGTCCAGGAAAGATGAATTGTCATACCGACGTAGAAGCATAGAGGAGAAATACACATACAGAAAGCGTTCCCATTCAAGCGGTCGAAAAAGTTGTTGTACGAGTTACTTCGCGTTTATACCCACGGTTAAACCACATTTGGCTTCATATCACCATGAAACGCAAACAATCTTGGCGATATCTTCGCCTGCGTAGTGCAAACATTTCGGGCTTTCATTTTTTTAACCCAATAAGCAGAACAAACGAATTATTCTAAATTTCTTACAAATACTGCGTTTGTGATTATTCAGGTATCGACTTGCCAATTTTTGCTACTTTTCTGACTTGAAATTTTTCCGAAATAATGCAAAATATTAGAAAAAATCCTGTTCGAAATGTTTTGAACAAATCTTGCTTGAATTGAAAATTTTCTCCGTGCAAGGTCTTTTCCCATTTCTTTCTCCTTTTTTCCTATCGTAGTAAACTATAAAAGAAAATTGGAAGAAAAATCTGAAGCCATGTTCATACATTGAAGTTTAACAATCAAATTTTTTAAAAATTACATTTGCCAAACCGGATACGTAAGAAGTATACTGTTGTACTCCGTTATATGTTCATTTCTTTATTTTATATTTTTATAAAAACGCATTTTAAAACGTAAACGCACGATTTAAAGTGCATTTCTAGAAAATGTAATTAATTTAAATTTTGATACTATTTCTACATTTGATAAATATACATATACTACATAGTATGTAATATTATAAGTTGTAAAAATTAACTTTTGGTTTCTATGCCCTAGGAAACTTTTTTTTATAAGATGTGAGCCTTGCGAAAGTAACGCGTACATCATTTTAAACATGTTTTCCATTGAAATAATGTATTATAACTAGATTAGGCGGGTATGTTAAATTAAACAAATACTCATGCTTTAAACAATCATTTAAGCAAAACTAATGAAATATCTAAAACGTTATTCATCAACTCCTATTCTAAAATGTTGATGCTCTCGAGTGAGAATATCTCCGTTATTTAAAAAATAAATAACTCATTAAAAAATAATTATTAACGTTATTAAAATTACGTTTTTAGATCTACCGCAAACGTACAAGTGTATTGTTTCCAATTTCCAAACAAACTCTGCAAATCAAAATTCAACTAAACAGCTACCAAGAGTCACCTACTCACTTGCAATATATTAACAATATTAATCTAAAGTAAAGAACTACACAATCTGCATACAAGTACAATAGAGTCTCGATAATTCGAGTCTCTATTGTTCGAGTTTTCCATAAATCCGAGTTAGTGAAAAAATCAGTTTAGCTTCCAAATAATGACCAACACGTGAAACAATTACTGCATCTGGTTTTTATTGTTGTTCGAAGGGTCGTATGTCCACTGCGCACCCCGAAGCCGCCTGCAGAAATGCCCCCTCCCCAAGAAAACGGGATATATATAAGATCGATATATAGGAGCAATGTGTTTAAACAAAAAACAATTGACAATTATTTTAAGATATAATTACCCTGTTGCTATCAGCAGTAATGTAATAATATGCAAGTACATTTTTCATTTAAATATACTACACTGAAATTTAAAAATTGCTCTTATTTCTATTTATTTATTTATTAAATTTTATGATTTCTATAATTCGAGTTTTCGATAGTTTGAGGTAGGCCCGGTCCCGTCCCGTCCACCTCGAATTATTGAAACTTTACTGTAACTACAAGCAACTTTCTGAACACGGGATATTTGAAGAAGAAACGGAAGGCGCCAAACAGCATTTTTGCGTAAACCGTAAAACATTTCATGTTGGCATAAAATACAAAATTTTTAGGGCTCCAAAAATGTTTTCTATGAGATTGCAGATATTCAAATTGTTCTCAAGAAATCAAATAATACCAAAAAGTGTTCATAATAACGGATAAACATTGAATATTCTATGACGTTATGCAATGCTACTCTTTTTAAAAAGAGTTAAATAAGAAGAAGAAGGAGATAAGTAAATGCTAACATTCCTGTGGAATGAATAGGGTGATCCTTTAGTTCCTTTCTCATTGCAACAACCATTATTTTTCAATAAATGCGCTGTTGTCGACGTGTCAATGTGCTTTCCCTGTGACAAATCCTATAGAGAACGTTCTCCGAGTAGAAGATCTGTCCGCAAGTCACGTGATTTTACTCCAGCAACGGTTTGCAACCCCTATGTGGCTTCTATGTTTATTCCTCCTCTATGTGTAGAAGGGAGAAGCAAGGGAGTATGAATAGGGACTAAAGCCTAAGTTTCTATGTGTCACGCTTTAAAGCCAACTCTGATAATGGGGCGAATAAAGAATACCATACCCTCGTTAGCCATTTACATATGCTTACTGTCCTACCGCCAGGAGAAAAACGCTGAGCAGGGTTGCTCAAGTAGACGAGTTGAATAAAGGAGGGAAACGTGTATAAAATCAGTCGCAACATTTGGCAAACTAAGCGCACTTCTTTAGGCGAAGAATTCGTTTTCGACCGAAGTACAAAGGGAAATTAGACTTCCGCCGGTTCTATCTGCGCCAAAT